AAAGGTCTGATCAAAAGCAGCATTTCCAAGAAACTTCTAACTAGGAGCAAAGCATCTAGGAGGACCCCTATAAACAAGGGCAAATACTATTAATCATAGTGGTATATCACATGAAGATACTATTGACAAGGGGTGATCATTCCGAGATTCAGTCAACCTGGATCAAAGTTCAAAGCACTGTTCAATCAGGGGCATACCTTTCGAGGGGGCATTCTTTAATCAAGTCATATCACAACAGGGTATGACTCGGTTTCCTCATTTTAAACAAACCTCTTAAGGCCTTGATAATCAGGGGGAACCTTCAAAGATTCAAGTGTTGGGGGAGTACTTACCAAGTTCATCCAACTGCACATATGGTCCAAATTCCTCTTCAAGCAACTTCAAGTACAAACTTTTCATGCTTCAAATAGGGGAAATCTATATCAAGTTCATGGTGAGGTCTAAGTTCTTTCTGAGGGTACTTCCTCCAGATCCTGGAGATTGAGGGGGACATATTTCAAAATTCGAATGTTAGGGCAAACCACTACGAGGCTCGATCAAAAGGAGCTGATTCAAAATGGTTCATCAAAGACAAACATTTTCAAAAGTCTTCTAATCAGGGGCATAATGCAAAATAGTGGGGTCATTCATATTATTATCAAACTATTTCCAAACTTATATCAATGAGAATCTCCTCCAAGACCCTACCAACAAATTAGGGAAAGACAGTTCACATAAGGGCAAGCTCTCCGTGTACTTTCATAACCTCCAGTGAACATTTCTCTTGCATCAGCAATCTTCAAGTTCAAATTGAGTATATGGAAATAATGATAGCATAACATTCAACCATCACGTGACAAGAAACCTTGCTACATAGGTAAACCTCTACACTTTAATCATCCACAACCAATCACAGGGGCACCATTAAAAAAACATTCGAGTCGTAATCATAAAGTATAAGGCTGCATAAGTTATGCATTATGGCTCTTCGATCCAGAATCGAGCTATACTTATCAGCTCATCCATCTGACGAACTCAACAGCTTGGATCGAGCATACCTCAAAAAATCCCAACTAAATATTCACATTTCAAAATCCAACATCCATTTACACATATCCAAGTCACTCATTACATACATCAATCAATCATTACATTTCATGCATCAATCAAATTCACACGCATAGCATAAAACCTTGTTTTATGTGAAGATAATCATCATTGTCAATCAAGCTAAAAATTCTCAATCGAATCTCGATAGTAGATTCTACTGGTTAATCTCGATAGTTGATCATCTAGAAGACCTCGGAAAAAGGTAATCTCTCAACAGAATCTCAGCAGTAAACTCCCCTGGTTGATCATGGCTGTTGATTATCCAGAATACCTCGGCAAAAGGTAGCTCACAATTGAATCTCGATAGTATATTCCCCTGGTTGATCATGACAGTTGATTATCTAGAAGACCTCGGCAGAAGGTATTTGCTTGATTAAATCCTGGCAGTAGATTCCCCTAGTTAATCTCGACAATTTGATTATCCAGAAGACCTCGGCAGAAAGTGATTCTACGTTGAATCTCGACAGTAGATTCCGCTGGTTGATCTTGGTAGATGATAATCTATAAGACCTCGACAGAAGGTAATTCACATCGAATCTCAGCAAAATATTCCCCTGGTTGATCTCGGCAGATGATTTTCCAGAAGACTTCAGCAGTAGGTAGTCATAATCGAATCTCGACAGTAGATTCCTTGGAAATCTCGACAGTAGATTTCCCGTTAAAACACCTCATATCAAGCATGATGTACGCATAACCATATCAAAATCTCAATTTCATCTGTAACATTTGGTGCATCTAACATATAGAAAACACCAAATAGCATTTAATAAAACATCAAAGTTTATTCTGGTTAGAAAAACATCGAAATAAAATCCACGCCTATTTTTACACCCACGCCTACATCTACGACTATGTCAACATCCATACAAACGTTTATATCTACGTCCATACCTATGCCTACACCTACGATACAGACATCAAAATCTTGGTGACACTTTTCACCAAATTCAAATCAACTTAGGGATACAATAATTGGCAACAAACAACATTGGGAAGTATGTGACTACAAGAACCTGATGATTTAATAAAGGAGAATTATCAAAAACATTTCCAAAATACTTGAGGCATACGCACATTCATTACACATGCATTCTAAAGTCCATATTTCCATGGATATGAATCATGCATGACATTCTTCAAAACTTACTATGAACAAAGCCAATATCTTAGGACCCTCCATCAGTTCTTACCCCGGTTAGAAACAAATAACCACTAAAATCTATTCTCATCTCTGATTTAATTATATAAGATGTGGATCATTCAAAACCACTTGATATATATTCAACCCATTGTGTCAGTCTCTATGCGACAATGTGTGAAATTTTCTATATTTAACTTATTGTGTCAGTCTCCATGCTGCAATATGTTCTTTCTTTGCGATCTAGCTCATTGTGTCAGGCCCTAGGCAGCAACATTGTGAAGTCAGCAATTCCACCCAATGTGTCAGTCTCTATGCGACAATGTATGAAATTCTCGATATTTAACTTATTATGTCAGTCTCCACACAATAATATGTTCTTTCTTTGTGATCTAGCTCATTGTGTCAGACCCTCGGCAGTAACATTGTGAAGTCAACAATTCCACCCATTGTGCCAGTCTCTATCTGTCAAATGTGTGAAATTTCTATATTTAACTTATTGTGTCAGTCTCCATGCATCAATATGTTCTTTCTTTGCAATTTAGCTCATTGTGTCAGACCCTAGGCAGCAATGTTGAGAAGTCAGCAATTCCAACCATTGTGTCAGTCTCTATAAGACAATGTGTGAAATTTTCTATATTTAACTTATTGTGTCAGTCTCCATGCAGTAACATGTTCTTTCTTCGTGATCTAGCCTATTGTGTCAGACTCCAGGTGGCAATGTCGCGAAATCAGCAATTCCACTCATTGTGTCAGTCTCTATGCGACCATGTGTGAAATCTACAATCTAGCTCATTGTGTCATACTCTATGCGGCAATGTTGTTATCAGTTTTCCTGCGATATAGCTCTTTGCGTCAGTCTCCACGCAGCAATATGTTCTTTCTTCATGATCTAGCTCATTGTGTCAGACTTCCGGAAGCAATGTTGCGATATCAGAAATTCCACTCATTGTGTGAGTCTCTATGCGACAATGTGTGAAATCTACAATATAACTCATTGCATCAGTCTCCATGCAACAATGTGTGAAATCCGCGATATAACTCATTGCATCCGTCTCCATGCAGCAATGTTGTTATCAAACTTTCTCTGTGATATAACCCATTGCGTCAGTCTCCATGCAGTAATGTGTGAAATCTACGACATAACTCATTACGTCAGTCTCCATACAACGATGTTGTCATCAAGCTCTTTTTCAAATATCTATCCTCTAGGTTGCGATAGATATGTGAATAAACCTGCCTAATCCATTACATCAGTCTCCATGCAGCAATGTGTTATCAGATTTTGTTTTATCCATCCCCTAGGTTGCGATGAATAAACAAAATCTAATCAAACCAAAACTTACTATATTAGTCTCCAAGCAGCAGTAAGTCAACTTTTCAAGCTTGTATCATTTATATCCCATGTTACGGTAAATATGCAAAACTGTACAATCTCCTTTAGATATTGACAGGATATTCGCATCGTCATATCTAAGTCAAATCAACTTTGGTTCAAATGCTGGTAAGAGATACATCATTATTTATGCCTATTCTTCACACTCATGGGAACACTGTACGACGTATCCTTATAATCCTTCGGACAAATTTTGGGGTCTTCAATTATTTAATAACCCTCTAATTTAAATGTGCGAGACTTACATATTCTCGCATGCTTCAATCGAAGAGCAATTAAATAGGGGCAGATGTCATACCCCAAATTTGTCCGCCTCATTGTGACTTGGTTTCATAATTTTTTTTGGTATTACTAACATTTTGGGTTTTATTTGTTTTTAAGACTATTTAAAAATATAATAATTTATTTCAAATTACTTGTATTTTTAAATAGCAAATACATGCTCACCTTTCATATGTTTTAAATTGCCTTTTTATCTCGAATGAAATGGCATAGCAAAATTGGTAAAGAAGCGAGCCTGCAGATACAAGGTCACAAGTTCGAATCTCACTGGGTGCATTTTTTTGATATGTTTGGTTTATTATCACTAATTTTATTTCCATCATAAAAAAAGCCTTTTTTATTATTTAAATATTATTTTGGTATTTTTATTATGGTATTTTTAAAAAATTATAATAAATATGAAAAAATATTTCCTTTTCTAAATAGGTGTTTCTTATTGGTTATTTGATGTCAATATGTGTCACACTTAATTTCTGATTGGTCAATTTTGTTTTATTTCCAATTTGGATGATTTTTTTATTTATAAATAGGACATGTGTTTCACACTTCTAGGACACCCAGAATCAATCCATAATTCACAATATCCATAAATTCACAATTTCACTACAAATCCACGAATCCACAATCTCTGAATTTCACAGTTTCACACGTCACTTTTGCAAGTTTATTTTCAAAATTCTTCTAAAGAATTTTATTGGTGTTATTTTCAAAATATTTTTGACCGATGATTTGATATGAGGACTCCCTCTTATTTTCGATTTTATCTTCTTAATTTTAATTTATTCGTTATTTAAATCCCATGATGAATCTCTGATGGTTAACTTGTTCATTATATTTTTGTGAAAATTATCATTTGATTCCTAATTCTTATTGCTATTATATTACATTTGGTATTTCTAACATTCATCACATACTGATACTACTACTCACTCTCATTCACAAATACACCTTGTGCATATTTTTTCATATTTACTATCACTCTTGCACCATCTATGTTCTTTTCCAATACAAAATCAATTTCAAAAGCTAACACTCCATAATTTTTCAAAACATGCTTTGTATAAGTTTAAATCAACAAATTACTAACACTATATTTTAAAATTCACACCACCTGCAAAACCAAGTTTTTACAAAAAGCACTAATTTTTTATCAATTACATAAACTCTAATCTCAAAAACATAAAATCTAATATAGTACAATCTGTACAAATTTTGTTCATCTTTTTTTGCAGAAAAACAAGAATAATAAATAGCAATGTCAATTGCAGCAGAGGAAAATCTACATAGAAAAAGTAGAGAAAAAATAAGAATTGAACCCTCGTTCATAAATTGTGCAATTTATTCTTGTTGTTGTTTTTTTGTCAATTCTGCTCACATGAGAAAAGAAGAATCTGATTTTCGCCGAAACACTGATGTCGAAGCAGCTTCTCTCCGGTGAGACAAACCAAACCATACATTCAACCGCTATGTTACAGATCTGACCATCATTGTTAATAACGACCTGACGTGTCCGATGACGTTGCAATTACGGCTGCTCGCAGAATCTGCCTCGCCGCAGCCACCGCGCCCAATCCATGAAGTCCGCCTCTGTACCGAAAACAATCAATCAACAGGACCGCACATAATCATCCGACCACACTCTTCAATCCTCCGCCACCGTGAAGGCAACGCTCTGTTGATGAAGCTTCTCCCTCCGATTGCAGCCGCCGCAAGCACCTCCATGGTGTTTTCTCCGTTGTTTCTGTTCCTCCTCTAGTAATATCCTTTATGCCTTCTTACTTAATTTATAAAGTTTGATTTCACTTTGTTGTTCTTTTTGTGAATGAACCTAAGGATACGAAAGAAAAGTATGATGAGTATAAAGAGAGAAGAGAAAGGGTATTACATGAAAAGGAAAAGAGAAATTTGAGATCTGTTTTGTTTTCCTGATGATATTACTTATGGTTAATTATTATAATTTTTATTTTATTAATTAATCCATGCCACATATCAAAATATGAGTGGTTGGTCCAAGATCTTAGAAAAAAATCAAGATTGTAACAAGTTGTCTTTCTTATTAGCTACGGATAACAAGATGAGGCGTTCCTCCTTTTCTTAGACTTTTCTTGTCATTATATTTTTATTCTTTTTTAATTATTATTTATTTATTAAGATTATAAACTAAGTTTAGATGTTGTTAACTTGGGCTTAAGTCTATTAGGTCTAATTTGTTAGCTAATTGTCCCACTTCTCTTTTGCTAATCAACACCCCCTTTTTATACTAATTGCTTCCTTGATTTACTTGTTTTATTTTCGATTTAGTTTTTATACTAACTAAGTGAAATTACAATTATGCATTTAATTTTATCAATAATTTAGGAGTTTAGTCCAAATTAAAACTCAAAATCCCCTCTCATACATAAATCACTAATCTTGTATGTAAATCATCTTTTTATGTTAAGTCAAACATTCTATAAATAATAGGATGTCCATCTTCGAGTAATTAAATTGATCGACACATCGTCTATCGGTTTATTATTCAAAATCAAACAATTAAAATCTATGCAAATTCACCAAATTCATCATCCGCGAATGACACATGGCCAATATCTGGCCACAAGATGAGGAGACTATATCAGACTCCCCTGTACTACGTCTTAAAACAGCTAACCAACAATAAACCATTTTTCTACTAACATAATAAAAAACTTCAAGATCATTTTCAAAAAAAATTAATAGCATTGTCTTCTAATCCAACTGCGAACTGCGTCTATGATCACTCACTTTTTAAACCCAGACAATGTTCAAGGATAATTCGAAAGCAATTCTACGCAATCCTATAAAAAACACCAACCAAATTGTGAACTACGAATTGGGACTCTGATTCCTCCTAAGAGGATACGTAGGCATACGATCAAAAATCATGGTGAGTCCCCCTAATAAAATATTAAAAATCCTTTTTCCTAAAACCACACTTCTAAACCTAGTATCCTTACGAACAAGGTAGATAAGGGGTGCCTAACACCTTCCCCTCGTCTAGAACCGAGTCCAAATCTAGAATCTCTGAACTTTAGGGTTATTCCTTTATATTCCTTTCTTCTAGGATAAAAATTAAGGGTGGTGACTTTGATTTAAAAACCAGTTGCAACAGTTGACGACTCTGTTGGGGACTCAACCCTAGGTTTAGAAGCATTGTCTTTTTGTTTTAGGGTTTTTCTTATTTTTTGGGTTTTTTGTTCTTTCTTATTTAATTATCTATTTATTTATGGAGGGATTTAAATTCTACAAAATTATTCTCAAAACCCTTAGAAAGAAGGTTCGTCTATTAGCCAAGGGGTTACATAAATCCCATGAGTTTATGCGACGACTTCGCCTAGAGTCGGTGGAATTCCGCAAAAGGAATACCTCTAGAGAGACATCCTCTTGGGAATTAGGACTATGGAATGACACCGATGACTCTTTGTACTACCTTTAAACCAAAATCTCACGATGAGACCTTGCATGACCTAGAGATGAAAGTTTCGATCTGTAAAGAGACTCCACTTAAGGAAGGCCCTTGTGCCTTTCCCTCTAGTGTTATTCATGAAACCCTTAATAAAACCACATTACGGGAGGGTAGCATATCTATAGGGCAATACTAAGAACCTACCTTCTAAGGATACCTTTCACAAATCCTATTACAATCTGCGAATCCACAAGGGTTATCTCTTCATCCACTACTATCTTTAGCCTACAGGGCTTCCGTCTATGTCATAATCCCTAACCTGTAGGGATTCCTCGTCATTTTTATTTGGCCACAATCCTTAAGGAATTACCGCCTGTCTCAATCTCTGAGACGATGTATGGTATCATCAAATCCATGTCTATTATTACCTTCGTCCGTAAGGATTTTATATCTGTCTCAATCTCTGAGTCAGTGCATAATATTATCGTTTCTATCATTAAAACTTGTATAGTACCCTTATATCTACTCTCATATTACGTCTACATCGCATTTCATATCCATGAAACTTTTTTGCATACCTAAAAGCAATTTTTTTTTCATACCCAAGCATCTTCATACATTTTCATTTTCATCTATTTGCACAAAGTTCATATCATTTACACTTCTACCCTTATCCAACTGTGATCCAACTAGCAAGATTCTTGATACTCACAAGCAAACTTAAGGCATGTCCCAAGAAGCCATGGAGGAACTCAAAAGAGGCCAATAACTGTTGAAGGAGGAGGTCCACCAGTTGAAGACTCAAATGAACTTGATCATGCAATTATTATCGAGGAGTGAAGGTAACCCTTCGTCATCCCATCCACAGGCCTATTCAACATGACAGATGCAACCACCGTGGGGAATTTTCCCACCTCAATAACAACTACAACAACCTTATCAACATAAGAGATAGTCTCAACAAAGGAAACTACAAAAGCTATCACCAAGGAGATTTGATTCACTTCCAATACCGCACAGTCGGCTACTACAACATTTACTCAAGGCATCTTTGGTAGAGCGAAAGTCAATGAATTCTTCGAATGGGACACTCCCGCCTAAGTATGATGCAAATTCTAGGTGCAACTATCATGCCAACTCTCCAGGATAAACCCTTGAAAGATGTTGTGATTTCATACACAAGGTCCAAGATTTGATCAATAATAAGCAGTTGACTTTTGAAGAAGGGATCCCATTGGTGAACGACCGCCCCTTGCTTTGACAAAACCAGAGTCTAAGAAGAATTCCCTAAAGTTAGTGGATCAACAAGGGGGATTATCTCTAGATTATTAGGCCTTTATCATTTCTATTTGTAATTTCCTAGTTGTTAATTTTCATTTGCTATAAATTTCTATCTTTGGATCAGTAATTCTAATAAAAATAATCATGCATGCTTTTGAAATCGATCCATTCCAAAAAAAATCTACGACTTTATATTTTTCTTTTCTATCTTCCACTTGCATAACTTTAACAAACTTTGATGGATAATTATGAAAATATAAAATAATCAAATTTTGCTGACGTGTGCTTTTTAATAGTAAGGCTTAGCTGACAATGTAAGACATTGTTTCACTTCCCAAACGATGGAGATATAAGGAGTTAATCCATAGTTAACCCCCTCGAGCCAGAAGTCGGAGTTCTTTCTATTTTCTAAAAAACCCTTAATCTTAACTAGGGGAAGGTGTAATACGGTGGGAGAACTGACTTAGGTGTTTTGCATTTTATTACAAATGTTACAGATAGCAAGATTCGCCACCGACTTTTCTTTTATCCAATAAAGGAAAGGGTGAAAAGAACAGGAAAGACCTTTTGAGAATTTTCTTGAGTTCAGGGGGTAGATTATGAAAAGGGAAGGTGTTAGCACCATTTTCATCTGTAGTTATCTAGGAGATCTTAATTGTTAGCTCACTTTGAAATGATTTGCGTTTGTGTATGTTTGAAGGTATTTTGAAAATGGTAATTTTGTAATGATTCTCGTATCGTTGAGAATGTATACAAAATGTTTATTTTAGAAATATTTTGAAAACGCCTTATTACGGAAAACATTGTAATGATTCTCGTATCGTTGAGAATGCATACAAAGTGTTTGTTTTGAAAATATTTGTTTGAAAAGAGAGTGTTTGAAAAGATTTTTGTTTTTGAAAGTGTGAGGTGTGAAAATGGTTTTGTGAGCAAGTAATTACGAGCAATCTACCTACTCAAAAAGTATTTATTCTTTTCCTCCTCCTTTAGATAATGCTACTTTACCATTAGTTAGTAGAGAGACATATCATAGGATGTGAGGGACAGGTGTGGGTCATCGTACAATTATAGAAGGCAACTTATAGGATGCTTTAGCAATTGTCGTAAGGGACTAAGATCATTTATCGAAGGTGTTAGTTCTCTTGTTTTAGGATTGGCTTAATTTTTGTAAAACAATTAGTAGCAGGAATGAAGAATAAGATAAGAAGAACATGTATAACAAGAAGTCCTATTACAATATTAGAACATGTTGTGTTGAACTTTTTCAACAACTGGAACAACATGTCAAAGAAGATGTCTTGATATCGCGCCTGCTGAGCTGGATTAATGAGATTCAGTTTGTTCTCAACATAGGAAGAATATTCATGAGAATATAATGCATCCTATATGGTGCATATTTAAAGGTCTAAAAAATTCAATCAGAAATCAAGGATAATGAAGACTTTCTAAATAAGGAGATTATTTAGGAAAGTAAAGATTGATGACCTTTCTTGGGGCAGAAGTTTCTGCAGTTTGTTATAACTGATTTGTTGTTATTGAAGACCCAAAACCAGTTGGGTAACAGGTTATAAATAGAAGGGTTTTTAACCCAGAAAATACACGGCTCAAGATGTAGAAGTCTAGGGTTTTGTCAAGGTAAACCTCTCGGGTTGTGGGAAGGTTACCATTTTCACCTGGAAGCCTGTAGGTAAGAGATGTATTGTTCTTGGAGGAAGCTTTGAAGCAACTCCAAGATTTGTTTTTAGTTAGAAGCAAAGCTAAAAAACAGTGAAACTTGGCTTGGAAACTTAGCTAGGTATTGTTATATAAGTGTGTCTTCCAAACTGTCTATCTGTGTGATCAGAATTTTGGTGAAGGGTCGTTGACGCAGTGACTGAGGTGTTGACTGCTAGACATAATTGTGATGATTGGAAGTGGGATGGGGATATTCCATATCTAGGGAGTACCTAGGTAGAAGGGTCACTGGGTAGTGATTAAGTGCGTAAATCGTCAATGGGTGTGTTAGCTGTAGGGTCTGCATATTGATATTGCTGATTGTGGACTTCATTCCT